TAACTGAGGGCAAAAAAAATTAAGATTGGGTAAGTACTTTATTTCTTGTTTTTCATATTTATTCTTTATTTATTTATTATTATTATAAAAGTAACTAAAATCTAAAAATAGGTATCTTTTTAAATTATTTAAGACTAGGTTGGGTAAAATAAGTAATAATAATAATATAATTAAAATGGTTCACGAGGCAAGCATGCGAGCAGCTCATAGGTAATGTGATTCGATAGTGTAACGTGAGCTGCATGTTCCCCGAGTGATTTACAAATTATAATGGTGCGGATAGTAGTTAGACATGGTTCAAAGGGCAATAAGACAATAAAATGTAATTTTAAATAGATGTATAATGTTATGAATATAGAGCTACTTAGGATAAACAAATGTAATTTCATGTTACATTTTGAAGTCGTCCTAGAAAGAAAAAAAGGGTAATTTAGATTTATTTCGATTTTTTTGGTGGTTATGAGGTCAGTCAAATTGACCGATCCAGTTTTGATATAGAGTAGAAAAAATGACAGATAAAATGTAAAGTTTTACTGAAAAAAAACGTTTGAAATGCATTTGGGAGATTTTAGAGATTTTTGAGGTGAAGAAAAGTATTTTTAATTTTAACCTGAAAATTACTTTGCATATGGACTATTCAAAACAAATACTCAATATACTAATAGACAAATCTTTATTTTATTTTATTTAAAAATATGATTTTTGTATGTGAAATATTAATATTGTAATATTAACTAAAAGACTGCCAAATTTCGTGAAGATATACACACCATATTGATAGTTATAAGTATTAAACCTATAAAGACTTTAAACGAGTATAAAAAGGTCACGTGGTCTTTCAAATTGACTGAGCTCGTATTGAGAGAGTTAAACATTGTATTTAATCTATATAGTTTTAGATTGTGTCCTAACAAAGTTTCTCAGTTTCTACTTCAAGCAGCTGTTGCTAATATGTTCATAACTTAAATCAAATGTATGATCAACAGCTATCTACAAACTTGACGACTAGTTGTAAAACTAAGTCTCACATATAATATCAAGTCACAACCAACAAGCTTGAAGCACTTAAAGGCAAAGCCAAGATTTTTAGTTACTGTTTAACAGCTTTAAGTGTTAATTCAAATAAGTTAAAATAAACATTACAATACTATCCTTTTATAGAATTACTAAGTCCCATAGAAGCTCTGAAAAATGATGTGGTCTTGTATGATGGTCTAGAGAACGTGATACATTCACTTGTCCCTAACACAAGATCAATTCCTGCATGTTAGGCAAAGATACCCAATAACCTGAGCACTTTTAGAAAATGTTTGTTCTGGAAGTTCATCAGTTTAACATTTGGTTGTTTTTTTTTCTGTCAGAGAAACATATGGTTAAAAACTTAATTTTTCAATAACATTAATCATTTAGCAAGAAAGAACATATAGCTATAACATACAGTTATTTTCTTGGCTGAGAAGTAAGAGCTTGCTTTAAAATTTTATATTTTAGATAAACAAAACTTGATAGCATTAAGAGCCATATTAGTATTTCTGAAACTTAGGTTCCAATATGGTACATTACCTCCACTCACATAAATATCTATTCTCGTTCAGTGCTGTTCTCTATATGCAAAACATTTTTTACACATACCACAAGCCTTTTGTCTCCCCTCCATTGGAATTTACTGATTCCAATGCATCTCTCATGCAAATCATCATGTGTTAACCATCCACCAATAAGTGTGCAACATACTCTTGTGACTCATGTGACTCCCTCTCTTCAGTTCCACCGAACTATATCTTCTGTTTTGGCAATAATCGTGTTCAGACGTTTTTCTTTTGGTTCTCTTTGTGTGAATTGTTTTCCTGATTTTAACAGTTTAATTTCCAAAGTGGTATTTCTTCATTACTGTTTTCTTTACGTTGAATAAATCTTTTACTTTAACTTAATTTCCCAGTCCTTTTTTTTTTCTCACACTCTCATATTTTACATCAAACACTTTTGTTTGATTCATGTATTTCTATAATGCATTCTGAGGTTCATGTTCCCATTTCAGGTTTTATGCCTTTAGCACTATTTTCACAAGCTGCAGGTGGGGGAGACCCATTGTTGGATTTCTCTGCTATTATCCGCCATGAGATTGATTGTTATATGGTCATCCTCTATCTCCTGAATTTGCCCTACTAATCCTCCTCAACAAGCCAAACATGGTTTCACTGTTGTTCG